TGCGCAATCCGCAATATTAATCAGCGTTGAGAGCCACAATCAGCGTGAGCGTCCGTCTGCGCCGAGGGTAATAATAACCACTGCGACGGAATATTAATTTGCGCCGAATGTGGCAGAAATGAAACCGGGTTTCCTTTCTGTAAGGAGGTAAGCGCAGGCTGTTTCTAAACCTGTAAAAAAGTATTTTTGAGTTCTGACATGCAGTGCGGTGACAGGTCGACCTGAATAATCGATTTATCTCAAGAGATCTATTTACCGCCGGCAACTTGAGTTTTATTAGGTATATAAGACACGTCCTTTCGTTCCTTACTTCCCTTCCTAACCCTCCTTCCTCCGTCCTACATTCGTTCGTTCGTTCCTTCGTTCGGGTTTGCTCCTCCTCGTGAGTCGAGTCGATACTACCTTCCTCGCGAGTACAAGACGCGACTACTTACAAGCACAAGTCAGACGCGACGATGGACATGCATCCCATCCCACCTTTCTCCCTGCGCGAATTCGGCGACCTCGTCTCAGCCGCGCTGGATCCGCCGTTCTCTTCTTCCTCTTCCTCTACCGCGTTTTCGTCCTCGAACTCCGCCGCGTTCTCTTCCTCGCCTTCTACGTTCAGCCTGCCCCTCCGCTCTTGCTCGTACTTGGACTCGGATTCAAAGACGGTGTCGGTGTCAAGAGATCAGCGAGAGAAGGAGAAGGACCGGCAGAGGGAAAGACAGCAGAGTCAAGGCAGCCTGCGCACGATGCTGACGCGCTTCAAACGGCGCGCGAGTGCGTTTGTTGGGGGTGGGAGGTGCGTGTTCTTGTTCTTGTTCTTGGCGTGCCATTCTGATTCAACGTTCGCTTCCAATTCAAGTTCTACCACCGCGTCTTCAAGTAGCAGTGGCAGCGAAAAGTGGGCCGTCGTTGCCTCTCCCACATCGCGCACACGTCCCACCTCCCCATCGCTCTACCGCATCCCCGAGCTGCGCATCTCCGCGCACGTTACGCCGGGCGAGTTTGCGCATACGTTCGTCCCGTTCGTGCCGCCGGTGGTGCAGTACGAGAAGCAGCGGGAGCGTGCGGTGAAGGCACATACGATCTCTAGCGCTACTTCGCCAGCGTACAGTTCAAGTTCAACCACGAGTGCGGGTTGCTGCGGTAGTTCTCCGTACGCCTCAAGCTCGACGCCCTCGCTCCCTTCGCCGTCCTTGCACGCGTCTCTGGGCGCGGAACACATGTACGCCCATGCAGACGCGGCGTCGTGTTTGTCTTTCCCTCCTCCTTCGCCCGCGTACTCCACATCCTCTTCCTCGCCCAGTTCGAGTACCTCCTCGTATACCCCATCTTCATCTCCCGCTTCATCCAGCTCTCCCACAAACAGCCCAAGCTCAAGCATTGACTCATGCTCGAGCGCCGCATCCTCCGACTTCCCTCCCACACCCACCATGTTCGCACTCCCTTCTCCCTCTGTGTCCGTATCCGAGCGGCGTTGGTCCGTCACCTGGAGCTCGGGTGAAGATTCGAACCCGTTCGTAGGGAAACCGCCGCGCTCCCCACCGTGCATCCCCTCCTTCAACGCGTTGAACAATAACAACTTCCCCCGCCGGCGTCTCCCCTCATCCGCCACCCTCCCTCCTTCGCGACCGCCTCCTACACAGGCTCTTCCCCCGCTTCCACTCCCTCCGCTGCGCGTCCGAGTTGATATCGAAGTCGAATGCGACTTCCCCGATAGTGAGGAGTGGACCCCCACCCACCCGTACGCGACCGCGGTCCCAATCGAGTTGTTGGACGCGTTCCCACTCCCGCCGCAGCATACGCCTACACCGACGTTACGCGCGCCGTCGCTGAGGAGGGCGCCTTCAATGTACGCCCACTCTACGCGCTCGACGCGGTCCCTCTCGCGTATCTCAAACGCTGGTGCGAACCTAAAACGCGCGCCCTCGTTCCACCTCCCCACCTCTACTTTCTCAATGTCGCTCGAACGCGTGTCGGCGCTCCCGACGCCCCCGCCCTCTCCGCCGACGCGTTCTCGTCCGCGTCTGCCAGCCAAATGGGAGTCGGAAGGGCGGACGGAGGGGAGGATAGAGCCCGTGACCCCGCCGCGTAAACGCGCGAGCTCGCCGTTCCCATTGCTCGCTACGCCCAAATCACAACGGGATTGGATCCAGTTCGAGTCGCCTGGGTCTGCGCTTGGGAGCGTGTCGGTATTGGAGAGCAGCTCGCCGGGAAGCGTCTACTCACAGCTGGACGACGAGAGCGAAGGGGAGGGAGAGTATCATAGCGCTTGTTCGTTTTCGAGCTAGGCGTGCTCAGAGGCGGAGAGGTTGTTTGTTTTTCAACCTACTCTCACTGCGACCACCCTGCGCCGCCCCATTCCATCACCACTCCAATTCGTCAAATCGCTCGTTTTCCGCAGCTGTTACAGTATCGTACTGCATTACTTCGTTTAACGACTTTCTCTGCTCTGTCCAGGCGCGTACCCTCACTGGCTCTCCCCCGCTCTTTCATACGCGTATCCCCACCTACTCCCTTATCCCCACCCGCTCTTTATTCGCGCTTATCCCGCTCATACATTCGCTTATCATTCTTGAACACCCCATACAACCGTACAATACGCTAAAATGTACCACCATACCACACCGTCGCTTATTGCAGTTAGTTAATTAGGATACACCGTACAGTAATCTGGTAATCGTAGTCGTAGTTCATGTAGTGAAGTTGAAATCAAAAATTGCTTTCGTTCTACAATTTTTGGGCTCTGATCTACAGTGATTCGAATCGAGGATGTTTCATGTTGGAGTGCGGTTCATTCAATTCCAAGTACGATCGAGCACTGTTCACCGACCTCGAAGCTTGAAGGCGAAGTGTATGAGCGTTTTTTTCGACGTTTATTATGGTCCAAGTCCGGTAGTCTGTACATTTTCCGGAAAATCGCGGAGGTGGGAAGACTCTAGCTGTTAGTCGGAAGGTCGAACTCTGAACTTGGATTTGATGGTGTTACTGCATCCTGACAGATCATGTCTCACGCTCCGTGCTTCTTGATGCGCTTTCGCCCGTCGCCCAGCCCGCCGTCTTTTGTTTCCCATACTGCTGTGAGCTGAAAATGGATAACTTGAGCTGAAAATTTTCAACTATTGATGGCATCGACCTCAACACCTAATTTTCTGAATCAGATGCTTATTGCAGTCAAAATTACATGTAAGCCAATTGTCATTTGCTATAACAGCTCAAGCCTAGGCAACAGCAAGCGGCCACATAGCGAGAGCTACCTTTTGCCATAACATAGACATATCATATCATTTCGGCTGTCTCCTCGATCCACTACAGCTTAATTGAGTGAGTTGTTGCCAACCTCGCGTGTTATGGTGCCTAATCCTGTCTTCAAAAATATCTGCAGAAACTACGAAAATCATCTATTTATGTAGCCCACAAAATGAGCATACTGGTAGCAATGGCGGTGCATTCTGCGAGTGGTTGAGTTTTGTGCAAGATAGGGGGTTTTGATGATCACTTCCTGTTTGGGACGTCGGAACAGTCCGGTCCGGTTAAGAGTTCCGACTTTTGAGTTTCGTTCAGACCAAATTCAGACGAAAAGTACCGACTTAATAAACAACGATGATAACCGTCATAGAAGTGTTGAACTTATAGCTAACTTCCGCAGCCTCTCGACAGCAAACTGCTGAGCTTGTCAATTTTCCACTCGGCCACATTCCATCATCGTCAAGAAAGATGTGGCCCCGTCCTGTTCAATTAATCTGCGGGTCTGCGGAGGTCCACTGCCAAACGGGCCGTTGATGTCCGGATCTGAGAAGTGGAGCCTGAGGCAGTAAGTGCCTGTTGCGTTCCGAACCAGAAATGGATGAGACTTTTGAGTATGAAGATTGTCGAGAAATCCGGACCCATCGAGCGGGATTCAACCACCTACATATTTTATCAACTCCGATGGAAATAAGTCGTTCATTTTCTGAAATACGGGTGTCAACCAAGGAAGACATCATCGTGCCCGCTGCCATACCATACTAATAATCTATCGCGAAACATACCACCCGATCGATCTCAAATTAATCTTGACCTGTGAATGGTTCATTATGGACGTCGACGACAGCCAGCTCGATGGCGTTCCGTTGATCGGAAAGACTGGGTAGCCGGTGGTACTGCGTGTAAGTAATTTTGAGTGTAATTCAAGTTGTGGCGTTTGTGTTTCACGAATGTTTGTGCATCATGCAGTAAGGATGGGATTAAAGAGATTTTTACTTGACATACCACATGCACATCCTTGGTGCGGATGTTACTGTGTTGGTCCGGGCCTTTCTCACACATTTCCCCTTCGCTGGCAGGCTCGCTATAGGTGTGGGGTTTTCCAGGCGCGCAAGGAGTGAAAACGTAAGAAAAATATCGTGATGGATAGCGAAATCTAAGCTGGCCCACGCCTGCCGGAATCTACTTGATTCGTTGATTCAGATTTAGCTAAATATCACAATCACAGAGAAGAGAAAATTCGTACTGACCAGATTCCTGTCTCCGGAACTGCGGACCATTCCAAGTATCTTGTACGCGTGCGATGAGTGCCTGACAGTCGTCATGAAGAAGAATTGCTTAGAGTTGGATACTTTTCTCGGAGTTCAGAAAACAGGTTAAGTATGGCTTCAAAGTTATCGATTATCCGTTCATGTACAATTGACTGTCCTTCAAGGTTGATTGTCGTTCACAGCACCAGTCAAAGTATCGTTAGTGTAGCCGTAACACACACTCGGAATGTTCCACGAATCATCCCATGCTTTTTGAGTCCGGGGTTCGAACCCCCAGCGATTCTACCCAGTATTTCTCGCGTATTTTTTTTGTTTTCGAAATTTGATTCTTTGTTTTTGTTGAACGTCCATAGGTTCCCTTCGATCGCAGGCCGGGGCCAGCACTTTGAATTTACACAACGCAATTCGATTGTTGTCCGCTCAGTGGCGAGGTTGAGCATGTCTCCGCGTGCACTGTTGAAACCTTGTAAGTGAACTGTGCATTACAAGGTTGCAACAGTACTCTTGGTGTAGTGGTAACACGCCCCTTATTACACTGTTGAGGGGATCCTGGGTTCGATTCCCGGAGGGTGCCTGTCTCTGTGGTCACGATCATATTTTTGGTTTCGCGTTTTGTTTCCTTTTCCTCCCTCTTTCTTGCGGTTTCTCCGAAGTTGTATTCTTTCTCTCTCTTCCCTTCATGCGCAACTGAACTTGTTCGTTGCTACGTATCTACAGTGTTCAACGCACGGTGTCGCTACATACAGAAATTTGAACTTCGTAAATCTCCACTGAGCTTGAATGAATTTCGGTCATGACCAAGATTCAGGGTGTGTAATGTCTCTCTCATTGCTATTTGGAATTGTGGTCACTGAAGGTCAAGGATTCGGTTGGGTGTGTTATTCCGAGACCTTTCCGTTGGTCGCCATAACAAATATTACAGTCAGCCGTATCCGACTCGTATCCGACTTTATTATAAATACGGAACGATGTGGGTGCTATTCCCTTTTTCGGACTCGAATTCACTGCCTTTTGGCGCTCAGACTTCCCATGCTTCTGGATGATGACTGTAAACTTTGCGTTTGCTGCTGACTTCCTTGCTCGTTTCCGACCGTTGGAGGCGGCGTCCCGTATGCTTACCCCCAAAGCAGTTGATCATACATTTTCTGTTTCCTGTCGTCGACTCGTTGGAGCGGCGTCCCGTGATGCTTACCCAAGAAGCGGTTGAGCTGCTGCTCTTGGATATCCGCTTCCTCGTGTTATAGCTAGCGGTATAAAGGAAACCGATTGAACGCGAAGATACTTTGTCCTATATCTCCCAGCTACTCAACCACATCACCAAGCAATCTTACTGCCATGCCTGCTCTGTTCACTCCGCTCAAGCTTGGGAATGTCACGATTCCCAACAGAATCGGTGGGTGCATAGTCGGCGCATTGGTTCTGAAGCGCTGACGGAAATACGCAGGGATGAGCGCCCTCACCCGCAACCGTGCATCGAAAGACGGGATGCCCAATGAGATCATGAAGAAATACTATGATCAGCGTGCTCTCGGGGGCGCCGGAATTATCGTGTCCGAGGGGGTGCTCATTACGCGTCAAGGGTGGGTTTAATCTGACCAGGACTGCGTGCTGCTGATAAAACGATTTCGAAGGACTGAATGGCCGGATGCCCCTGGCATTTGGAGCAAATCCCAGGTCGAAGCTTGGAAGAAGATCACGGACTCCGTGCATGCACACGGTAGCAAGATATATTGTCAGGTTTGTCGCAATATCGATCTAACATGCTGCCTCAATACTCATCATTGCGTTTGCTAGCTTTGGCATCGTGCGCAGCCTTACTGTTTCCCATTTTGAACTTATTTCGCCTAACGAGCCATGCAGTTGGTCGTATCAGTCACCCAGAAGCCCCAGAACAAATTGCTGCTGGCGTGGTACGTTGTCAAATTATACCAAAAAAAATACCAATGGAAGTTGACTTACCCCAGCCGGTGTACGCCCCATCCGCCATCTCTGCCCGTGGAGGCAATTTCCGCCACATCGCCGGAGCACCTGGATATGTTACGGTACGCTATCTTCAACAACAGGCTGCATGCACACACTGAGGGTCGCACAGCCCACAGAGATCGAGGACCCTACCGTCTTAATTGCGCTGTTCAAAGAAGCCGCTGTCAATGCAAAGGCGGCCGGTTTCGACGGCGTCGAACTTCACGGCGCGAGCGGCTATATCGTGGCCCAGTTCCTCGATAGCACAGCCAACCACCGTAAGGACAAGTGGGGAGGAAGCATTGAGAACCGCGCGCGCTTCGCGCTGGAGACTCTCAAGGCGCTGATCGACGTTTGGGGACCCGGCGGAGTCGCAATCAAACTCAACCCAGGCATTTTTCTTTCTTTCTTGTGATCTCAAACATTCCAACTGACGATTTATAACTCCCAGCTGGTGGATACAACGATGTGGGGATGCCACTGAAAGAAAACGTCGATACCTTCAGCTACCTCCTTCGCGAGATCAACAATCTCGGTCTTTCCTACGTCGCGCTCCTGCGGTATGTCGCCTGGCTTGACCCCGAAATCGACGGTCCGTCCCTTCGCATACTTCTTCACTTTGCCCCCCGTCGCTCAATCAAATATTGTAGGTAAAAAACGGGCCACCGATCACGACGTCCTTGAGACCTACAGCCCGATCCTCACAAATACCCCCCTCTTCCTCAACGGCAATGTCACGCCTGCTGAGGGCGAGGAGCTGGTCAGCAGCGGGAAAATCGCAGGCATCTTCCTTGGAATGAACTGGGTCACGCATCCGGATGTGGGCAAGCGTATCCAGGCTGGAAAGGCGCTGGACAATGTTCCTGATTTCGCGACTTTGTACGGGGCACCCGGCGTGGACGCCGCCTTGGGCTATGTGGATTATAAACAGGCGGTATATTAAAGGAGGATTTATCTGACAGGTCGATAGCTTCTTGTTAGTCGTTTCGTTACATTAGAGAACCGACCAAAACGCAGATATATGTTCGCTGGTTGAAGTCGGGAGAATATCCGCATTGACTTTTTATTTGCGAAAAAGACTTTTGAACCATTGATTTCTATGCGACTGGCCGCGATATCGAACAAATGAGGATCAAAAAAATATAATTCAACTCAGAAAAGATGGACAAAAATGTACACGGTGCTTCCGCGGCACTTCGCAAACAAGAGCTGCTTTCTTGTTCAAAATCGGCGAGTAAGAGGGTGCCAAAAGAGAGGGGCACTTTACACACACCTGGTGAGTTCATGCAAGACCATCCACCTCCTCATTATCTTCGTCGTCGAAAGAGAAACTTGAGACGAGGGGGAATGTCTTGCGATATAATTCCTTCGATATGGACCTGGGGCCCGGGATGCGAATTTCCTGTAGTTTGCACTTGGATTTCGCCATGAACTGTGTGAGTTGAGAGATGGGATCCGTCCCAATGTATGATTCTGGGACTTTGAGTTTCCGTAGTCGGGGGGCAATGAAAGTGCCGAGATATTCGGTCGCCTCGGGGTCGTCTTCACGTTCGTCGATGAAGGTCAACGATTCCAAGGATAAAAGCTCGAGTTCGGGCTGGATGGCAGTGGGATTGTCGAGGAAGAGGTGCAACTCGCAATGAACCAAGCTGCAGGTCTGCAGCAAGATCGGTGTACATTCACGAGGATATACTGCACACAAAGTCAGTGATGTCAAATTCGCCCAGGGTAGGATAATGTTGGCCGCAGCGATATCATTCATCCTGACTGTGCGGAGAAGAGGAGCGTTTGTTAACGAGTGTGGGGAGGAGGGGGACCCGACAAGACTGGGCCGCCACAGTTCATGCTACCCTACCTACCTACCTACCGGTATGGCATCCCATCAAATAGAATGCCCGTATGGTATCTCAGAAATGTCTGCGCATATCATCGCTTATTTGGACGGTGCCATAAACGAGCCGGCATTCTCAACAACATTCTTGTTTATGTAGGAAGTTCGTTCTTAGTACCTGCAGTTTGTGTGTTCGCTGGTTGAAGTGCACCAGAAAAGCCGCACGGAATGCTTCCCCTGTAAGAAAAGGACTTTGCATCGACACCACCATAAGTGACTTATGAAAATTCACTTAGCCTGCCAAAGTTAACTTATGGCTCACTTATGGCAGTCTAAGTGAGTTTCTGGCATAAGTGTGATGCCATCTGATGGCATAAGTGACTTTCTCTGATGGCGCTTGGCACATAAGTGAGCTCAAATGCCTTTAAATTACTGTAAGTGAACTTAAGCCACAATAAGTTTGGAGTTGAATTGACACAGAATGAGACCCACACAGACTCTGAACCTCAGCTTCACGCCTTTTGGTGTCTATCCAACTTGAGTAGATGATTCATTGTTTTGAGGCTGAAGATGGGGATGTCCATATCCATCACGCACAGAACCCCGGGTCCATTGGCGTTGATGATACCGTCCCCTGCGACGCTGCGAAATCAGACACCGGCAATCGCAAGTTCAAGGCGTTGTTCGGAAGGTCGCGGACCCATAACGAGCAGACACTCGTCCGACCCTGCGGTGTGATTGTACAACGCGGAAGCTGTCTCGAATGTCCTGGTAGGATGTCTTGTTAGCGTTGTGAATCTGTGTTGACACATTTTAAAAGCTGTTTGTTCAGAAGACATTCTGTGTGCCCCGCGCTTTCAAACCTCAACACTTTATCTATGATACGAACTGCGACGCAAAACAACAGGTCATGGCACACCCCGTGGAATGGTCTTGGTTCGATGGCGTCGGAATGACCGTCGATGTCTTCCACTTTCTACATAAGCACAAAATCACCCATGCCTTCTGCCAAGAGCACTGCAACCCAATCGACTGTCCCGAGCTCCTGGGGCCAGAGGGGAAAGGATGGTTCTTTAATACCTCTGTGGCTGAACAGACGAATGTTTGGTTTGGAGGGTACCACTCCATTTGCCGTGAGATGCTGCCAGTCAAGTACAATTTCTTCTTGAACGAGATGATTCGCCTTCGTAACCAGAGTATTGTAGCGCAGCTTGAAGATGCAGGGCATTGTCCGCGGCAGCGTGTATAGAAAGGATACTGTCAGACACTTCAATTATAATACGATATTCACATATACAAATTCGAGATAAGGAATTACAGTAAAATACGAAAAAAGTTCTATGCTGCAAAGTCATGCACACATTTCCGGAACAGCAACCACAATCCCTCGTCGGTCCGGCCGGCTTGTTTCGCTTTGTCACGTAGCGAAGCAGGCAGCGTCAACGCTTTCTTCCAAACCGTCTTCTGGTCATCATAGGTTGCTGACCTGTACGGGTGCTTCCCGCCCTCCCCGAATACCCGCCTAAAGCGAGCCTCCCGGCTAAGGACGATGATGCTTGTGTGCTTGCGACAGGTACGCCATGGTCATTCATCCAGTCATCGGTCATTTGTGTCGTAATGCGGAGAGGGCGGGACTTGGACTTTGATTGCACGCTAGGTGCCGTTATGCGGGTGCGGGGCACGGAGGGTCCAGCAATCCCGGTGACGTCGGGAGCAGATGCTCGACCGAGGGACGGGGTGGGTGAGAGTAGCCTTGTGGGAAAAAATGGGGCGGGGGAACGCTGGAGAGGAGAATAAGATGGCAGATATAGACGAGGAGGGGATGGGGAGCGAGTGGAGGATTCTTGAGACAGGCGGAGTGCTAGAGCGAGGTCTGCTTCCTCTTCGCGCTCAGACAATGGTGCAAGGATTGCGTCTAGCCGGCGATCTTCGGCTGCTATACGAGCACTTTCTTGCTGGCGATATTGATCCAGGGCACGAAGAGGTGCAAACACAGCGTCATCTGCCATCTTGTCAAGGTGGGCTATGAAAGGAGCGGGAAGAGAGGGAGCACGGGTCACGGCTGGGGGCGCTATCACTGTGCCTAGCTTCTTGGCGCGATTGGCGTTGTGGGAACGGAGAGTGCATGTTCCCAGAGCGTTACAGTGTTTTTGACACATGAGTCGAGAGCAAGCCACATCTATGCGTGTTGAGCCGCAGTTACGGGACTTGCATTTGCGCGGAACGACAGAGACAACTGCAGCAGTGACATTCGAGACGACTTGGGGCACTTGTGAGCGTGCTTTCTGCACTTCGTCGACTGTAAATCTGTAATGGAATGGTTTTCCATCCGGGTGCTTCCCCAGGCACTGTGGGCAGAGAGATTAGACCTAGGCGAGAGCACAGGAAGCTCGCTAGACGTACGCGTAAATAGTATGATCCAGGTGCCTCGCCACTTATGGTAGGTCCTTTAACGGTGAGCGAGTTTAAGCACCAATCGCAGCGGTTGCCGTTCGGCGTGACGAGATTGAGCATATTCAAGTGCTCGGGGTTGGCGGGAAAGTGGGTGAAAGAGGAGAAGAGGAGACGCAAATGTCAGGAGGGTGTGTTCTGCTGTTTGGCGCAAAAGGGAAGTTTGACACTCCGCTATCCTCGGCCGACCATGCCGCCGGTATTGATCGCGGTATACTTTCCGTTATTTCCAACTGCCAAATTTCCTGCCGTCTTTCAGACTACGATCTGCTTCAAGGACGGTGCCACCGGACATGGTGGCAGACAAAACAGAGTTCTCGAGCCCTTGCACGAGCCCAATCGCAGACGCTGTACAAGAGAGTGTCACCATCGAGTTAAGGGAGTTCATGGTCACTCACTTTACGGTTGCCTTTGAAGTGGCTTCAGCACTGGGGCATATGTACGATTGCTCGGATGGGAGTGAAAAGCAGAAAAATTGAAAATGGCCACGTGTTCGCCCGATATCGATGACGATGATCCGGATTGATCCAAAATTGATCGGGCGAATTTCGCTCAACCAAGTTCCACGGATCGTTCACTTTCACGGGGATTTCGAGTGTAAGTTACCTTGAATGGTACTATGAGGCACTCAAGTACCCAGGAGTTTCGAGATATTTGCATTCATAACAAAAATTTGCTTGATGCGACTTTCGGTTGACTTTCGGGCGGAAATGTAGAGCACAAGGTTCCGTGGCAAGACACCTGTACACCGACTGAAGACCCTGCCGGAATTCGATCTCTGGGACCGGGTACATCTCTATTCGCGTATTTGACAATATTCGTATTCCGAAAACCACTGAATTGACTCACTACTCTCTTCGGGAAATGGTATCGCAGCTGCGGCATGAATTTTCACCGAAGAGATTCAGAATGGCGCGCGCAAAAAAAGACCCTAATCGTTCACTCACATGCTCCTGGACGTGATATAAGTAAGGATCGAACAACATTATTGAGTTCGTGAAAATGTTCTTCAGTCGGATCGTTCAATTTCATGGGAATAAAGTCGATGATCGCTATCGGGAGACCACAAATTTTGATGTGACAAGAGGGGAGGGAAACCACAAAGTAAATTAACCAACATTATTAAAAAACGTGGAATACTAGGGAAAATGCATAGGGCGCGCGAGTTACATCCCACAGAGCAGGGTAGGGAGCGTCCCTGGAAGGAATGGATGAGTAAAACAGCACCAAAGAGTCGGAAGGGTAATGAACACACCAGAGTAAGGTCATGCAAGACCATCCACATCCTCATTATTTTCGTCGTCGAAAGAGAAGCTTGAGACGAGAGGGAATGACTTGCAGTACAGCTCCTTCGATATGGACCTAAAACCCAGGATGCTAACTTCTTGCAGTTTACACCCGGACTTCGCAATGAAAGATGCGAGTGCCGTAATGGGGTCCGTCCCAATGTACGATTCTTGGACTTGGAGTTTTCGTAGTCTGGGGACAGTGAAGGTGCCCAGATATTCCGTCTCCTCGCCATCTTCTTCACCTTGCTCGATGAGGGTCAACGATTCCAAGGATGAAAGCTGGACTTCGGGCTGGATGGCAGTGGAATCGTCGAGAAAGAGTCTCAACTCGCAATGAACCAAACTGCAGGTCAGCAGCAAGATCGGCGTACATTCATGGGGATATACGGCACGCAAAGTCAGCGATGTCAAATTCGCCCAGGGTAGGATAATGTTGTCGGTAGCGTTGTCATTCATACTGACTGTGCGGAGAAGAGGAGCGTTCATTAACGAAAGTGGGGAGGATGAAGGCCTGAAGGTCCGCAGATCCAGTTTTCGGAGCAGTGGCGTGGCACCTAGTACAATGGTGTGAAGCAGGTTTCTGAAGTTGATGCAAAGGTCTAGGTACTCCCAGCGAGAGCAATGTGAGAGGAGCAGTTTTAGGAGATCCTCCTGCACCCCGTAGGGAACCTCGCCGATTTTGATGGAAATTGGGCAGGAGCGAGACCGCACCAGCCATGATTGCAACATATGGACCCCGTGTGCGTCATATAAATCCCGAGAATACTGTATTGCCCTCCATAGGGATGGCGTGGTTAGGGCGATTTCTCTCCATCCTCGACATATATGAGTCAGGAGAGTCGGCGAGAAGAGTCCAGTCATGGGTGGTCGGCCAGGATAAGCTGGAAGGAACTGCTCGAAGATTTCGGAGATGATTTCGTTGGGTAACGACAAGACTGGGTATCTGTAGATGTCGAGCCGTCCCTTTATAAATGCCCTCTCCCTTCGTAACAAGTCGAGTGTTTGTTCTAGTTCCAGTATTTGCGCCTCTACGTCTTTGAGGCGTGCACGATCCGCTTCAAGGACGGATGATAGTGCGGAGCCATCGGACATGATGAACTACGGGTGTCTAGTGAGCCAGGGATCTGTCAGTATAACATCCAACACACCTTTGGTTTCTAACTTGACGCTTGGGGGATGACGGTCGAGATCAAGGTGCAAGTGTGACACGTGTGCCCGTTCATCCGAATTGATCCGAGTCGGATCCGTGTGTCGTTTTTTTTTTCGTTTTAAAAAAAATTTGGGATGATATAATTCTCAGACTCAAATCAGACTCCCCCTCACTGGTGGTTGCATCTCGTTGGTGCAGCTAATTCGGGCTGTAACAATTTTTAAAACAGTTCCCCGCCATCATGAAGCTGATCGCCTACGGAACTTTCGAATCTGGCTCAACCAAATACCGATCCACGGTATGATAACCCAGGCTGCGTCCTGCTGCGTCTGTCTCCGTGTTTTGTTTTACTTGCCATGTCGTTTTCTCTGGCATGTTTTATTTTGGTGGATGCTCTCGGACTTTTCCATCTAGGATTGATTTTTCAGGATTTTTTCATTAGTTTCCCGCTTTCCTGCATCCTGCTGGCTATAACTATCGTAAACACGGCCAGTTCTGAGCGCTGAGCGCTGAGTACATAGCAGCCCGGGACACGCATGGTTGTGAAACCTTCCGTTTCAAAAGCTCACATTGGATTTCTCACTAATGCACTGTTGGTGTAGTGGCAACATACGTGCTCACTTCGTTTTAAACAAATCGAGCAGTCCGGGGTTCGATTCCCCGACGGTGCCCTCAATTGGACGTCTTTCCTGTTCTTTAGATTTTTGGATTCGTCAATGATATTTTCTCTTCTAGATTTGCAGGCCCGTAATATATTGTGATTCCCGAGAACACCGGTTCAAATCGGCGTCCGTGCGACGGTGTATGGGCTGGTGGACACGCCTTTTGGCGATACTGGGAGTCACACTCCTTTTTCTTTCAATACTTATTTCCAGTCGTCACTCTCCTCCTCCTCTCTGGAGCTATTCGTTTCTGGACCCCCTTGTGTAAGATGCCAACCGAGGTATTGATATAGATCACGTCGTCATCGTGTAAGCAGTCAAAACTGGTGGCCCGGTAAAACCCATCCTGAGTTGCATACTTACTAAGACATACATAGCCTAAATTGACTTGTGGGCCAGGCCGTAATTCAAGATATGCTTCAAATGGCCGACAGGCGGATCAGGGGAGGGAGGGTGCCATTGCGGTGATCGGTTGTCAGTCTACTAAGAGAGTGCAAGGGGGATCTGAAGAACCATACGAGTCGACATTGACATTTACGATGAACCAGGAGTTTCCAGCGAAATTAAACCAACTTTGCTGACAGACGTGGGATGGAGGCAGGTGCTCGTCCATTCGCCCCAGAAGGTGAAAGACGGGGTCTCGGCCGAGATAGCATCACCGTGCAAGCTGTCAAAATTACAAACGAAAACTATGTTGAATGGAGTTGTGGCTCACAAATTCATTAACGGATTCCACGGCAGGTCTGCGGAGGTAGGTGACTCACCCCGCGTGTCGTTTTCACATGAAGACCGAGCGTTGACAATCCGAATGTAGCCGGAGCGTCTAGTACGTCTAGTTGCCGGCCTGATGTCCGAAGTCGTTATATTTGCAACACTTGACGGCTGAGTATGACATTGACGATAAAATCTCGACGGTTATGAGCAAGTCAATTTTTTTTAGTAGCTCCAAAATCGCGAAAGTGTGTCTGGCGAGAAATGAGGATGCATCAGCGATCTCGGACGGAATTCAACCAGGTACGTACTTTTATCAGTTCAGGTGGAAGTAACTCGTCCTTCGGTGAAAGGCGGAAATAGGCTGAACGAGTATCAACTGTGATCATCATGCGGGCCGCCAGAATCCATTGCGAAACATACTAACCTTAAATTGATCTTGACTATCGACGACAACCAGCTCGGTGACGTTCACTGATCGGAGAGTCTAGGTAGCCGGTTGTACTAGCTCTGCAGTATTGTGATTGTGACGTGTATGTTTCACGCTCATCCATAAGGATGTGAAGATTTATTTTTAACACACCATAAAGAATGCACCACAGCGCCATTGGTGCGGATGTTACTGTGTCCCTCGCACTTCCCTTGGCGGTCTGATGTATCGGGATCTCCTCTCTCCAATGCGGAGATGAAAAAAGCAAGGTAATCAGCATGGAGTGACATGTGAAAACGTCCGTAACGGTGTGGGATTAGTGTTGCCGTCGGTCACCCGGGTGGGATGTTGTGTACTTGGTCGGCTAACAAGTTGATCCTGATTCTAATTCCATAGCATCGATTAGTGGGCAGTGAAGGTTCGATGTTTGATTCCTTCCGAGTGTTCAGTCTGGTCAAATCTGTTCACTTCGGAAACAGATTCGCAAAATTGTCCGTTGCCGACATGCCAATCGTCCATACTTCAACTTGCCAGAAGCACACCATGGAGGTATCAGCTGCTTTTGATATCGAGACGAGTCGCCAGACGAGATAATCCTACTTGTTACATAATATCATAGACACATCATGTATCCACGGCTTCTGGATAGTTTTGGCACTTCCAGCTTACATTGAATCGAGAAATCGGTTAGTAGAATCAGAATTCCTCTCCAGACAACCAGCGCTGAAGAAGATCCAGCGCCTCCTTCGGTTTGTCGTACGGGACCTGTTTGTTGTGCATGAAGGTTAGCCACTGAAAAGTTTAAAATAAGAAGCTTCAACACAGACCATATGTCCCGCCCCGTCAACCGTAGCGAACGTTAGCCCTTTAGCGCTCCTCGCCAAACCCGCGCGGCCCTTCGCTTTCGCAAGATCCCCGCCAACAGCCCACGCACGCAACGGCTCCGCCGCGAACTCCTCCTGCCCGCTCCACTCGAGCGCGCGCGTCCAGCGCTCGTTCCCGACCCAATTGCAGATCCAGTCATACGTCCCGACGTAGATGAGCACACGCACACCGCGCTCGAGGAGGCCACCGATGTAGTCCTGCGTGCGGTGGAAGCTGTCCATCTGCGCGCGGAAAGCCGCGCCGACGAGAGGCGCGCAAGAGGAGAAGTTCGCAGGGACGGCGGGGTCAACACCGAGGGTTTTGCGGACGGCGGGACGGGAGAGGTAAGCGCGGATGTGCCTGTTTAACAAAGCGCGTCTTTACAATTGAGTGGAAGGGTTCAAAAATGAAACGCACGCGGTGACGGGATAACAAAGATTGTCTCTCAGGCCGTCCGCATCGCACGGCTGGGAGATGTCGTACGGGTTCCGCTCTGTTCGCAGTTAATTTGACCTTCAGGCTCGTGGTTAGTGCACATACCAGATAGCCAAAACGGCTGCCTGAGATGAAGGTCGCAAAAACTGGCGGCGGCCGCGCAGTCAATCGCATCGAAGACATCCACACACGACTCTTTGAGCCGCTTCTCGCAACGCGGGATCATCTGTTTCATGAGCACGCATTGTCTGGGGTCCAACGGTTGATAACAAAATTCAAGGAGCACTGTTGGAAGGTCAAACTCACGAAATCCCGAGCGTGGGCGGGATGGATGCCGAGGTGCACTGCATGTCGAAGGAGGAGGTCATTTGGCGGTAAAAGTCTGTGATACCATTGCCTGCATTTGGTGGGTGATTTTGTTAACATCTGTAGGGGACCGTGCACGACACTACACACCAATCATAACGGAGGTAAGGTTGATCGGGGTGTAACCCGCAGCGGCGAGCAGGGCGTTCTGGTCGTACACTTCGGCGGCGAAGACAGGAACATAGCGGCCCTGCATTGAGTTGAGTTGAGAATGTGTGTACTCAAGAAACCGAGAAACGATAACGGGACTCACCCCGTACGACTCCCCCGTCATGTGGAACGACCGCCCCTTGAACTTGGTGAAATGTTCGAAGAAAACAAAAATGAAGGCCGCCATGTCCTTGGCAGCCTCTTCAGTCGTCGCCTGGAGTACATTTCTGAGTATACAGTGTGCATAGCAGGAGACACAGATGGAAGGGACTCACGACGCTCTCGCCGTAATCGGCATAGCTGAAGCCAACCCCGATGGGCTGGTCAACGAAGAAGATGTTTGCGTTGGTGTTCCAGCTCTCCGGGTGAAAAGAGGTGCCGTTGCCGTCAGATATGCGACAGGGACCTTGCCGAAGGTTCAGTTGCACTGGCCTTTTCTACGAGAAAAATGCATGGAGGCGCACCGAGCTCCATGAATAGACCCATACTTGAGCTGCAGCCGGGCCCTGGCGAAGCGTAATCAATAAACGTACCGCAAATCTTCTTAGAGCGCACCTCCGTTAGTCCAAAAAATCACATCGTCCGTGTCAGGGTCGTTCCTGCTCTCAAAAAAGTAGAAGAATATGTGGCGCGCCTCAATGTCGATGTATCCGGTGTATGACCTGGCACCAGCGTCAAGGTAAGCCAGACATCTTGTCTATCGCCGTGAGAAGCGTACTTGACCGTGTCATCGCAGAACGGGCTTTTCTTGATGCGGACGTTGTAGTTAGGGAAGACAGGATGCGACAGAACGCTGAACTCCGTCTCGGAGAGTGCGTTCATGTCTTCCATGGGCGAAAACAGGCCGTCATCGTACGCCGATACCCTACAGAATGTTACGACCGTCGACGAAAAGTGATTTGGATTTGAGCGATTCTACCTGGGGATTCCTGGGGCGAACGGGCTCCTAAATACAGTTTGGGACGCGCCGGCTGCAACACAGAATAGCTGAAAGAGGATCAACACCCAGTAGGCCGACATGTTGGTCGTGGAATAACCCGAAACGGCGGGAGCACATGGGTGTTATCTCCACGCGACGGCGCTCCGCCGTGCCGAGATGCCGAATTAGGGCAAAAAAGGTTGAAAAAAATTGGATCCCTGGCGCGGGTGAGGCACAAGCAACATATGTTGAAGAGGGAAGGGTACTGCCCGTGGTCACACGTGGGGAGAGTTGAAGAGCTGGAATCGCATTTTAAGTAAGGAATAAGGTAAGTCGGAATGTCAAGCAATAAAAAGCATGAAAGGTGCAAGTATTGTTAGAAGTACCGTCTAGAGTAGCTGATGGTGGTCAGTCGCACACGGACCATACACAGCTTCAAATCGAATTTATCTGGTCGAACCCTCCATATTTTGCCGAATTCAACTGTGAGTCATTTGTAAATTGTACATTGCGCAATTAATCTTTAATTCCTTCGGGGTTCCCCGACGATGGAATGATACCATACCGACAAATTCTATCTCGTCTTACAAGTGTTTCACGAACCATTCCACGCATGCCTTGAAGGCCCCTTCCTTCCCGGCTTTCACCTATATCTCTCATCAAGAGGTGGAATAATGCAGCCTGAACTTTTACTGACCTTCGGATCGTTCATGTCTCCGCGGACCGCAAATCCGTGTTGGCATCCGTCAAAGTATTCGCGACGATATCCTGGAGCAAACTTGCCGCCGCCGAGAATCGCATCCGCCTGAGCTTGGGCCTCAGGTGGGAACATCATATCGACAGTGCAGCTGTTAATGAGCAGCGGCGCCTTTGCTACTTCAGCGTATTTCTGATCTCACATAAAATCGCGATAGCTCAACGGAGAGGAATAAAGTGCACACCTCAAGATCGGCGGGGATGACGAGAAGACCTGGGTGGGAGACGGCGGCCGCTTGGATAATTCCATCGAACGCGAGGTCGAACGTGTAGCGACCTATACCACGTCACGGTTAGCTGCCGAGCCTCGCGACTTGTATAATTGGGTTATGGGATACCTCCAAAACAATATCCTGTGGCACCGAATCCAGTGATTCC